TGAGACTGCACATATAATTAATTTTGAAGGGCTTAGCACCATACCTCGGCACACAGCACAGGATCAGTGAATGTTCCTCTGCCCTCTCTCCCCTTTTAAGGAGAATTTCTAGGCAAAGGTTTTAGAGGCCTGGCTGTATGAAGATTCAGGTAGGTAGGTAAAATGGTAGAGTAGCCAGTTCTACTAAAGCTCTGGGTATCCCCATTACATCAATGATGCCCATGCTATTTTTAGAGACTATGAAAACAGTCTGGTCAATTTCTACTGCAGCCTTAAAGATCGTATTCCTTAACCATACCTAACCATAAGCAATTCGGCCATGTGGAAAATATTCATCATGATCACAATGAAGTTGTCTCGAATGAATGAACTGAATATAAAATGAATGAATAACTGAGTACAAACAATATTCTATGGACTGGGGGAAGGCCATTTTCACATCGTAACATCACTGTTTTCCTGGAATCTGGCCCTTGGATCAGATGCTCTCCAAAACGTGTGCCACTCTCCCCACCCCCCACCCCCTGCAGCCTAATGTCCACAACCCTCCAGAACAGCACTTCTGACACCAGAAGCAGAGAGCAAAGACCGATGAAATCAGCAGGTGCCCCCCACTGTGCACCAGCCATTCTGGAACAGATAAAGTCATTAAGGACAATTTTAACAATGCATAACCTTTCAGCTTTACTCTGCTCACAGCAGGTAGCCTGCCTTTTAGAGACACAAGCCCGCAATGAAGTCACCAGTGAGCAGGACCTGACCTTCATTTTCAGTGTGTGCAACGTTAAATATTCATAATCCACCTAACTGCAACACAAGAAATAGTGGAATTTAAACACGAATCGAAGGAATAAATATCTTCACACAGGTTGAGTCATCTTTCCAAGAATGCCCTTGGAAAAAAATGCAAATACCCAGGCCCCTGAGTCTCAGCCTCAGTTCCCTTGGAATTCTAGAAGCAGCAGGAACTTATACATTATGCAATCCGTGGATCCTGCCCTCACACTGACATCTTTGGGTCTTTTCTTTTTAGAAAAGAATTACTGTTCCCATGTCAAAGGGAGGAACTAGACAGGGATGGGACCAGCAACAGTGACATTATCACCCACGGGATGTCCAGGGGCACTTTTGACTATGTTGTACAATTTTTTAAAAAAATCTTTGCTTCATAGATGATCGGAGTGTGTAGGAGGAGTAAAAGGGGTGTGGGTATGGAGAGACATCAGAATTAGGAGCTGAAGCGCCTTAAATCAGGTACCTTTTAAAAAATTAAAGTCGTTAACAGACTCAATCCTAAGAGTGCTCATCACAAGGAAGAAAAATGGTTTTTCTTTAATTTTGTATCTATATGAGATCATAGGTGTTCACTAAACTTATTGGGGTAACTGTTTTGTGACGTACATTAAGTCAAATCATTATGCTGTACACCTTAACTTACCCAGGGCTGTGTGTCAATCATATCTCAGTAAAACTAGGAGGAGAAAAAGGAGGAAAAAGAAATGGGGTTCTCTGGGACAGTATCTGCCTTGTGTGGCCATTTAATGTTTTGGAGGGGGAGTGGAATTACTGTGTGCGGTGGGCTTAATGCTTCTCTGTGTCTGTTAAGGAACTGACGTCTGTGTCCATCCAATCATTGGGTGGAATTGTCTCCCTCTGCTTGGGTGGTTTCTTAAGAGACTGCTGCTGGGGTGATGAAACATAATGTTAACATAGTTTCATGTAATTCTCTTTGGCTTTCCAGACCAGGAGCTCGGAGCACAATCCGTCTCAAGCAGATAGTAATCAGCTGAGGCTGCACAAGTGATTCTTCTGTGATGACCACTCGAAGAAAATTAAACCCGAAGAAGGGCTTCTCAAACCCCTGAATGAAAGAGACCTGTTTGGGGATCCATCTTGGCTTAACAATGGAAAAGGAAAGAAGTGTAGAAGTCGTCTTTGCAAATGACTTACCCACTGCCTCTTGATGGTGAAATAAGCTTTGAAAGGTTAAGAAGATCATAAACTCACCGATGATGACATGTATCTGAACTGCCTGTTTATTCATACCACCTGCACTGACTGTCCTGCCTTGACACCGAGTCAGCCACGATGGCCAACGGAGCCTATTTTTTATGTTAACATGTGTTTCTTGCACGATCGAAAGGGCCAGGTGCAGAGAGCCAAACATCTTAAACTTGAGCACCCCTACCATTTTGGTTAAAACTCACTCAGACAAGCCATTTCATGGACCATTGTCTGCCCAATTAGGTTCACACAAGGGAAAGTCTATGCATTGTCTTTCATTTACTTGAAGGGTATAAATACTATAACTGAAATTCATCTGAAGAATACAAGGCACTTTTTTCCAGGGTGATGATTTAGCGTAACTTCCAAGAGATGCTTAAAGCTCTCCTTCCAAGATGTCCAGATGGCCAGCCAAACCACAAGTGTGTAAAATGGTGACAGTTTTGAATGAAAGGGATGCATTTTAAGAATTTATATTCTGCTTTCTTACTCACTTTTCATTTGCATCTGATATGTGTATGGAACTTTTTATCTTGTTTACTATGCTTAATTATAATTTGTCTAATGGACTTTCTTTTTATTCTTGGGAATGAATCTGTGGCTTATCATGGAGGTTACCTTATAGCTTCTGCTTTAATTCATCCCCCTACTTACAGGGAGCATCTTTACTGACTTTCCCCAGGAAGAGAGCCGACCCTTGGTATTGACTATACTGATGAGGTCACCCATAGACAGACTCCTGAGGTTTGACTTCAGAACCCAATGCAGTAATTCCAATGAAAAGTAGAAAGAGCTACACAAATAAACATAAGATTGTCTTATAAACAAAGCCTCGCTATGCCAAACCACACAGTTTAGTGACAGAGAAGAAAGACTGAAGTTAGGATGAGGCTAAAATAGTCCCCAGGGAGAGTGAGGACAGTCTTGGTTCTAAGATTCTTGGCATTTTCGCTTGGAAAAACTGAGCACAGAACCAGAGGTCTATCCATGGAATAGACTCTTTGCAAGTCCATGAAGGAAACCAGAACCAAAGACGGTTCCCAGGGCTGGCTTTCCCAGGCTCAGCAGAATCACAGCTAAATCCAAAGGACACTGAGGAGCTGCAGGGGGCATGCAGGAAAGAGGGCTTTGTCTTGGGGAATTGTATTCCCTTCCATCCTCTCACATGGAACTGAGAACACCACACCCGGCAGAGCAAAAGACCAGTCCACAGTGGACACTGTAAACAAGGACACGATTCAAATCCATTTTACAAGAGCATTTTATTTCTGAGAAATACAGAGGAGTGAAAAAGGAGAGACAAGGAAAGAAGGCGTCAAGGCCCTTCTGACCGATCACCCCATTCACTTCCACATAAGTGTTTGCCTGTCTGGGGCTCACAGACTACATGCCTGAAACTACTTCCTGAGCCCTGGCACGGAAGCTGACACAGTATGCACTCCAAGACTTTTGAGAACACTCCTCAGCCCTGGGGGAGAAAATGGAGAAATAAGACAAGCGGCTCTAGAAGATATTCAGTTCAATTCAAATATGATCCAGAATTATGAAGAGGAGATATTTAAATAAGGCTTACCTTCAATGACATACCAGTTGGAGTTTTCCAAACTTAAAAAGCTCTTTTCTCTCTTGGCCAGGAAGAGCTGATGGAAAAGTGCATGGAATCTCAATCCCGGAGGACATTTAAGAGTCCACCTGTGGTGGGCGAGGGCAGTCCAGCCTTGTGCATGGGGATGGGCTGAAGGACCGCTGATATTCTACACATGGCCAATTCCCAGAGACAGGTGATGAGAGGAGATGTTTTCTTTATCTTCCCTGACATGATTTTGGCTCAGCACCCAAATGCACAAAATCCTTTGGCTGGTGACCAGTAACTGAGAAATTCAGAGTTTAGGCATGCATGAAATTACTACCATCCTGAGCCACAGAAAAAGAACACTAAGCTCAGAATTCAGGCACACCAGACTCTGAGCCAAAATGGACACCAAGTGGGTTTCCTCAGATCAAACTCTAGCACCGAGGCGTACTAGGCTGAGAGTTCAGGGAATCAAAAACACTCTCACAGTGGGCAATGCCGACAAAGAGCCTAAGGCCACCATCAGGTGTCAGGTTCATATCCCCACCAAAGGGAGTCAAACCAGCTCAGCTCCAGTTTCCCAGATGCTGTCAATTTCAAGCCTGTGACTGAATAGTTGCACCAAATGATATACCAGTGGGGGTGGGAGTGACACCTGCAGGAACCAGGGCAGAAGTGGCCACCACTGAGCACCTTTGCTCAGGGCCCTCTTCTGCCTCAAACAAAACCTTTTCTGTGTGTGACACAGACAGACCCCACCCAGAGCACCAGTTCCCTCAGCTGGCACCCCAGGCATCTGCCTGAGTGTCCACTCTAGGAATTCTCAGATAGCCATGGGCCTCCACTCTGGGAGTTATTACAAACTCCTCTGTCCTATCTCCTTACCTTCACAAGTCAAGAAGCACCAGCCAGCGATGCTTCAGTTGAATATTCAACTACCAGCACAAAGGAGAGCATCATGCTTTCTAAGTTGACCTCCAATAAGAGTAAAGCATTGGCAACCCTAATAGAAAAGGATTCTAAACTGCCATGGCAAGCATGGCTCACAGCCTCACTGGTTGGACACCATGACCCTCTCAGAGGTTACAATTTCACATCAGAGCCCTCTTGACTTCTTTCTACCTTCAGGGCAAATACTGCACCAGGAAATAGCTATTTTAAAAGCAGTAACAGCCGGCGAAAAAGCTTGATGACCCCAGATTCCTCTCTCACCCTCCTAGGACAGTCTAATCAAAGTAGTCTTTCTCATGAGAGCTTGCTTTCCCATTCAGAAAATTAACACAGACAGTCCCGCCTTCCTCCAAAAGTCTTCCACACTCAAAGAGGCTCTTGCAAAGGCTGGTGTTAAAGTAAATCAACTGACCAATGTAAAAGTTTATGATTGTTTTAGAAAAGAGGGCAAGAAAACATATTGAATACTCACTTTGACGAATCTATGAAGTATATTACAAGTGCACCAATGCTGAGAGCAAAGACTAAGACAACCTGCAAAAGAAGAGAAAAATGCCATCACTTAAGAGCTGAACACTGGGATGTCTACTTATTTATTTTGTGGAACACCCACCCGCGGCCTGGAAACATGGTGCTTTCGGGGGCCTGTTGGCAGTGTCGTCCCCTTGCTGCACCCACAGACACCCCCCTGCTGTTGGCTCCTCACATCACAGTGGACAGCAACCTCGCCGCTGGCCAACAGAGGTCAGGGCAGACTTCTGTATCCCCTGGCACCAGGTTGGTCTGGCCCTGTTATCTCAGAGTCCGACTTCTCCACAGCTGAAGTCAACAGACTTCAGTGGGAAAAGAGCAGGCAAAAACAAATGCAGTGATACAATTTTTCCTATTATATGTGACCTAGGCCCCAAAGGAACTCAAAGATAGGGATATCAACTTTTAACAGCTTTGCTGAGATAGTTTACATACCATAAACACTCCCATTTTTAGTGTGCAATTCAATAACTTTGAGTAAATTTACCAAGTTGTGCAGCCAGTACTTCATCTACTTTCAGAACATTTTCAACAGCCCAGTAAGATCCCTCATGTCCGTTACAGTTAATACCTGTTCCTACCCCCAATCCTAAGTGCAGTGAAAGTGTTAGTCATCTAGTCCTGTCCAACTCTTTACAACCCCATGGTTGTCCATGGAATTCATTAGGCAAGAATACTATAGTGGGTTGCCATTCCTTTCTCCAGGGGATCTTCCCGACTTGGGGGTCAAAAACGGGCCTTCCGCATCGCAGGCAGACTCCTTACCATCTGGGCTACCAGGGAAGCCCAATCCTAAACAAACAATAATTTACTAACCAAAAAAACAAAAGTAAAGCAAAAAAAAATAATAATTTACTAACTTACTTTCAGTTTCTATACAAGAAATTTTAGTCAAAAAGCACAAATTTGGTGTTTGTACAAATGTCGATACATGTGTGCTCGTGTGCATGCATATTTATATTCACTGCCTCTGTGTGTGTGTGTGTGTGTGTGTGTGTGTGTGCGTGCGTGTGGCTATACGACTTCTCAAGTATTCTGGAGATAGTTCAGGTGCAGGAAGCCAAATTAGGTAATATGATCGGCCAGGTATATGACAACACTTGTTCTTCTTTATACTCTTCACTCAAAATTAATCACCATGGATACAAAAGACAGTTTTGGCATCTCCTTCAAAGAATACCTGTCACGCTAAAGTCTATCAAATGAATATGTAGCAGATGAGGCTGATGCTGACGCTTCTGTCCTCACTCAACATTTGAATTTATTTATTCTTTCATAAACGAGACTAGGAGTGCAACTAAAAGGATGTACAAAAATAAAAAAGATGCCAAGAGCCAACAATGAAGTTTGAGAACAAAAAATAAACAACACCATCACATACAATGCTTGAAGTGGGGGTGGGGGTGGGGTGTGAAATAAGTACCTGGCAGATGTGTTAATATCCTAAAGGGACTGTGGGGTGAAGGGTGTCAAGAGGTGTCAGCCTCCTCAGCCTATCTACAAATTGACATCCCTGCAGCATTAGCTGGTGGATGGATGTGAATCTCAATTTACGTGATGATCAAACATAATTGAGTCATGTGCCTGTGTGTGTGCATGTATGCACGTGTCAAAAGTCGTCCCCTTGCTGCACCCACAGACACCCCCCTGCTGTTGGCTCCTCACATCACAGTGGACAGCAACCTCGCCGCTGGCCAACAGAGGTCAGGGCAGACTTCTGTATCCCCTGGCACCAGGTTGGTCTGGCCCTGTTATCTCAGAGTCTGACTTCTCCACAGCTGAAGTCAACAGACTTCAGTGGGAAAAGAGCAGGCAAAAACAAATGCAGTGATACAATTTTTCCTATTATATGTGACCTAGGCCCCAAAGGAACTCAAAGATAGGGATATCAACTTTTAACAGCTTTGCTGAGATAGTTTACATACCATAAACACTCCCATTTTTAGTGTGCAATTCAATAACTTTGAGTAAATTTACCAAGTTGTGCAGCCAGTACTTCATCTACTTTCAGAACATTTTCAACAGCCCAGTAAGATCCCTCATGTCCATTACAGTTAATACCTGTTCCTACCCCCAATCCTAAGTGCAGTGAAAGTGTTAGTCACCTAGTCCTGTCCAACTCTTTACAACCCCATGGTTGTCCATGGAATTCATTAGGCAAGAATACTATAGTGGGTTGCCATTCCTTTCTCCAGGGGATCTTCCCGACTTGGGGGTCAAAAACGGGCCTTCCGCATCGCAGGCAGACTCCTTACCATCTGGGCTACCAGGGAAGCCCAATCCTAAACAAACAATAATTTACTAACCAAAAAAACAAAAGTAAAGCAAAAAAAAATAATAATTTACTAACTTACTTTCAGTTTCTATACAAGAAATTTTAGTCAAAAAGCACAAATTTGGTGTTTGTACAAATGTCGATACATGTGTGCTCGTGTGCATGCATATTTATATTCACTGCCTCTGTGTGTGTGTGTGTGTGTGTGTGTGTGTGTGCGTGCGTGTGGCTATACGACTTCTCAAGTATTCTGGAGATAGTTCAGGTGCAGGAAGCCAAATTAGGTAATATGATCGGCCAGGTATATGACAACACTTGTTCTTCTTTATACTCTTCACTCAAAATTAATCACCATGGATACAAAAGACAGTTTTGGCATCTCCTTCAAAGAATACCTGTCACGCTAAAGTCTATCAAATGAATATGTAGCAGATGAGGCTGATGCTGACGCTTCTGTCCTCACTCAACATTTGAATTTATTTATTCTTTCATAAACGAGACTAGGAGTGCAACTAAAAGGATGTACAAAAATAAAAAAGATGCCAAGAGCCAACAATGAAGTTTGAGAACAAAAAATAAACAACACCATCACATACAATGCTTGAAGTGGGGGTGGGGGTGGGGTGTGAAATAAGTACCTGGCAGATGTGTTAATATCCTAAAGGGACTGTGGGGTGAAGGGTGTCAAGAGGTGTCAGCCTCCTCAGCCTATCTACAAATTGACATCCCTGCAGCATTAGCTGGTGGATGGATGTGAATCTCAATTTACGTGATGATCAAACATAATTGAGTCATGTGCCTGTGTGTGTGCATGTATGCACGTGTCAAACAGGCTGATAGAAACTGAACTCTGCATACATATTCACTTAAAACATTATAAAATTTTGTGGAGCTATGTCCATTCATTCCATGGATGGTGGGCTACAAAGCAGACAACTGGCAGTTGAAACAACCAGACAATATAAAAGGAGTATGTACTTTCATAGCATCTGAAGAATTCTCCTTATGAAAGGAAGCATTAAAACAATACACTACTTGGGCTAACTTTATTCTTCCATTTTGTTTTCAAAGCTAAAACAGGCTCCAGTTGAATTGAAGGAAACTCCTGCAGTCTGTCAGTAATTACCCGTGGCCCAGGGCTAATCCCTCTGCCCCCTCCCTCTGCCCCACCCCTGCCAGCAGACTCACTTCAGTCCCCTCACACATTCATTCATTCATTTCTTGCACAGTTATACATAAAAACAAACAAAAACATCAACGGGCCTCTGCACTTCCCTCTATTTTCTGAATGAGGCAGCAAAGCAAATAGCTTAAGATTAATTTTGATCTGTGCTGCTATTTCAGAGACATAAGCAGTTGCTAGTTCCGGGCCCTGACCTCATTCTCAAAATGCTGCAAAGAGAAGGGGAGTGGCCACATCAGAGGGGAAGGCCCTCCTCTTCATTCATGAACAGTTGATGCAAAACTAATTTCTATCAATTTGGCTGTGTTTGTGTGTGTACGTGTGTGCGCGCGCACACACGTCTGTGAGTGCAGAGCTTCTGTCAGAGCAGTTGTCCAGGCCTAGGCCATTAAAGCTGGGGAAAGGATGAGGGGAAAGGATGGGAAAAACAGGAGAGGAAGGAAAGAGGAAAGAAAGAGGAAAAGATAAAATTCTCACAAGTCGTTACCTACATCATTCTGAAATAAGCTCAGTATCTAAGCTCTCCTGCAATGCTGATGACTTCCCAGCACCAGGGCAGAGGAGGTGGGGACAAAGTAGCTGACACTAATGTATTCCAGATACCCCAGCTTGGCCTCTGTGATGTGGAAAACGTGTAGCTTATTTAAGCAAATCAGCCAGTGACTGGAGGGGAGCACTCTAGCTAGCCTCTTCAGATGCAAAGTCCAGTATCAGCATTGCTGATAGGATCAGGGAGAGAGAAAAATTCAGGAGGAAAAGGACTCAAAAGCTCCCAGGAGCTGAAAATTCTGAGAACTGGACCTATTCCTGGGTCCACATGTTCAGCAGGAAGACTTGTTCTCAATGAGGTTCTGGGTGTCCAAGCGGTCCCACCCCCCATCCCCCACCCACCTGCCTCCAGACACAAAATGATCAATGGGGGGAGGACCGAGGATCAGCTTCTCTCTGATCAACTGCCTCTTTTGAGGCAACCAAGCACGCAATTTTCAAACTTGCTAAATGGCTCTTTGTCAGGCTTGATTACACTGTCATCCCAGATCAAGGTGCTGCAGAAAAGGAATCAACCCTTTGGATGTGGCCATGAAAACAGGAACCCAACAGAGATGAATCTTCTCCAGGGCCCTAGCAAAGGGCTCTCTAGCATCTTTCATTGTCTGAGAACCCTACTCTTAATATGAAAAAATTCAGCCCAACTACACAAAATGACTAGGTTTTAGCCTAAGTGGTGATGGTTATGTGAGAGAGTACACCCAGATATTCATCTAAGTATTTATTTCATATTTGCTATGCATAAGGCCTTAGGAAAAATGAAAGAAGCCCACTTAGAATCACAAAATATGCTCTTTTTCTGGATTAACACTTAAATAGATGACTCCTAGGCTATTATGCAATTAGTGCTCAACTGTACAGTATATGTAGAGTCAATATATAGTAAGATATTGAGTAGGTGGTATAAACATAAATGGAATAGCTAGGGAAGGGTGGAAACAATAGGAGTTCTTGTTTCAATGGCCAAGTCTTTCTCAAGGCTTCCCCTCCTCCCAT